AAGTATTTACCAACGGTCTGCAATGCACTGTTTTTCATTTGATTTTTAAGTGGTTCCAGGATCTAGTATGTCTTAGTCATCTCCCACCATGTTCATTCCTGCTAAACACACATCTCCTGCTTTTCAACCATTCATTTCTCTCAGAAGTTACTTACTGAATATCTACTATATGTCAGAAAGTACACTGGGTAGTTTAGCATCATTATTTTAAGTGAAGTGAATTTCTAATTAGTTGAATTGTTACAGTATCTTCTTATCTCTAAGCGATTTTTAAAATTAATTTTCCTTTATAAAGCCACTCAACTCTTCTCTCCTTTCCCTCTGAAGTTGTCTGGTTCTCCAAAACCATTGCTGTAGAAATATAACCTATTAGAAAATAAGTTATCATTAAAGCTTATTTCGTATCTGCACATTAAAGCTATAAGCCTATGCATGCAATTCACTTCAATAGCCAAAAGAATTTCCATCTTTTCTTTTATAGCTATAATTTTAGTTGTACATAATAGTAGCTTAAGCTACTCATATATAGATAGAAAAAGACTCAAAAGAAGCTGACTCACGTAGAGATATGTAAAACACATATTAGAAATCAATAATTAGTAGTTGTATCGCACTATATAAGCCGCAAATAGGATACTGACTGACTAGTGAGGCGCAGTCGCCACACACTCTGGTGAGTTCCCTAAGCTCACACTTGGTGTGATGCCTGATAGACATTCTATAGCGGTGACTTGGATGGGATGGCGCTGTGATCGAGTGTCGCAGGCGGACTGTGGCGCATATACGAGCTCTAGCACGATAGGTGCCGTTCTCAAAATATGCCAATATGCTTGATGGAGGTGCATTCCATGTCCATGCATGTGCAATAGTCGTTGCTGCTATCAAGGACCGCTGCACTGATATATGTCGTGGCCTGTACCGAGAGACCTCGTAGATGAAGGAGGGTGGTGCTGGTGAGTACTCAATGCAGCGGCGTGTCTGTGGTCCCCAGGAAATGTGTCTATTCGGAGCCCCTTGGCCCTCAATGAAGGGCAAAAATACAAGAGTCTCAATGAGACCCCCCTCATCTGATGGGCGGGCTTGAAACAGGTGTGTATCGTGCCCTGGGCCGCTAACAGTTGTTTTGTTATTGGTGTGTGGCCTGTGGCAAATCTCTCCATAATAGTGGAATAGTATAGGAATTTGGTGAGTATCACGCCGACTCAATGAGAGTAAAAGGCAAGAGTCTGACCCTGATCTCTCTCCACAGAAAAGTGACACCGAGAGCCATGAAGAAGGGGCAAGCCTCAACCCTAATCTCCATGGAGATATAACCTCGAGATGACATAGAAAAAACGTGCGACTGACTCGCGCTAGTAGCAAAAAACTTGTGATACTCGTGCTAAAACGCTTCGCAGTGTGAGAAGCTGGTATTTGCTCTGTTGAGCTATATGTTCTAGCCCATTCAGTATATGATGAAGGTTTTCATTGTCAACTGTTTTCTAAGAAAGCATGAAAGTATGGTAGGCCCATACCATAGCTCTAAGATATGGATAAAATAAAAAAAGTCTTGTGTCTCAGTGATTGGTACATGTTGGGTATTTTCAGTCCAGGGTGAGAAGTAAGTTGGGGGGTCATAGTTGTTAGTCCGACATAGCAGAAGTATTTACAAAAGGGCAAAATAAAATAAGGTAAACTGTTTCTTGGTTCTTTGTAATCTCCTGAGTTGTTGTGTGACCACTTAGGCGTTGCAGGGCGCCGAAAAGTCTCGTGCTGAATCAGAGGCATCTGCTTTGTGCTTCCATCGCTCACTGCAATAGTACAGAGGCAATTAAAATTGTCAGAAAATGTCTAAGCGCAAGGTTGTGTGACCTTCAGGCAATCTCTGAATCAGAGGCATCTGCTTTCTCACGCTGTGTGGAAACAGAGAGATGTTAGGGGCCCAGCCTGTGTGTTCCCAGCTCTCCCAGGTTTGTGGGAAGTTGTTTATCTGTGGGGAGTGAAACCTCAGGAAGGTCTGGCTTCAGCACCTGGGGTAGATCCCTGGCTTGTTTCCCCTCCAAAATTTTTCTCAGCAGCCTGAGACCCGGAAATGGACCAAATGTGTGCAATTCTCATGAGGGTCTCATTTCAGTACTGCCAAAACTAACCAGTGCATTCCTGCATCCTAAAACAGGAGAGCTTTGGCCCAGATCTGATTACTAGAGAAGCAGGTTTAAAAGTCTAATACCCACCTGTTTCTTCTACCTGCTTTATAATTTGTAAATTACCTACTGGATGCAAGCAGAGGATGGAAGCCCACGTATGCGTGTAATCCCCAAACTGGCATCTCTCACACTGAATGGAAGAGTGCAAAGGAAGAAAGTGGGAGAGACCTGCCTTTTGGCCACTGGGAAATACCTGTGCTTGGCAAGCAAAAGTGGAACACACAGGCTAATTTCTGAATCCATAAAGGGATGTCTTTAATGGTTAAGCGACAAGGTTGAATAGGCAATTACCAAGGTGAGTAGTACAGACCATGGCCCAAATCTTTTTCTCTAGCCAACTGTGATATCCTCCTAGAGTTCCAGTCATGGCACCGGTTCCTACTTCTGGGTCTTTGCCCACCTGTTTTCCTCTGCCTGGATAACTTCCACAAAGGTACTACATTCATCAAGCCTCAGGGGTGGTTTCCTCTCCATTTCTCTGAGACTTTCCCTCCTTTAGTTTCTTCTCACTGGTATCATTTACCTGCCATTTCCACTAAAATCTTTTCATTTCATGCCAAGTGTGTGAAAGATATGTAGGTTTGTGATATTTGAGAGACGACCTCATTCCTTCAAAGAAAGATTTCCCGAAGGACTGAGGAAAGCACCATTTCCAAGACATGTTAAGAGTTAGTCCCAGAGAAATAAGCTGTGTGGTCAGGTTAGATTGTGGAATTTGGTGCCTCTTCCTCCCAATTCCTAACAACGTATGTTAGCCAATTAAAATCTCTGAAAAACAGGAAAGAAAGGGGCAGTATTCCCTACACTTACTTGACAACTAAAACATCTTTTCTCACAAAACACCTGCCAATATTTTCCTGAACTCAATTTGGGAAGTTTCATTGCAAGTATTTCTGTTATTTCAACTGGGCACATTTGCTAATCACCAGTTGTTTCTGTGAAGGAGGTAGGTATGTAGACAAGGTAAGTTCCCTGCTCAAAGCAACCTGTTGAATGAGAAGAAGAGCTTGAAGTGACTATCAATAAAGAATCACTTCATTATTGAGCCAGTGGTTCACGCCTGTATTCCTAGCTACTCAGGAGGCAGAGATCAGGAGGATTGCAGTTTGAAGCCAGCCTGGGAAAATAGTTCCATGAGACCCTATCTCAAAAACAAAATCCATCACACAAAAAGGGCTGGTGGAGTGGCTCAAGGTGTAGGCCTCTGAGTTCAAACACAGGTACTGCAAAAAAAAAAAAAAAAAGTCTCTTCATGGGCTTCTAATAATGATAGGTATTTGTAACTACTGCAGTATGCTTACCATTTTATCCTATATTTATTCAACAAATATCAATGCAATGTACCATCAGTCACATGCCATGAAGATAGCAAGAATCTAAGTCATGGACCCTGCCTCTAGGTGTGCACAGTTCTCTTACAGGGAAGAAGTTAGGTAGATTACATTGTTTAATGTGGTCTATTATAAAACGGCAAATGCCCTGGAGAGATACTGGATAGTAGGAGCTGTGGCTGGCTGGGCCTTGAAAAGTCACAGTTGTGAACATGAAGTGAATAAGACTGTTCCCAAGCACAGCTGCTAAGTCACATCTGGGGCTTAATTCTTGGCAGCAGGGATGATCTTGGCAAGTGAAGTTGGCTTGGGGTTGATGGGAGATAATGTGGGCAGTAGAAGAGGGCTCAGGCGGGAGGGACCAAACTGAGAACTTGGGATTTCTGAATAAGGAGTTTGATTGCTGCAGAGGACTCTGGGAACTGCTGAGGAACTGGCAGAAGGTATCAATGCCTCAAGGAAGCTCAAATTATGACTTTAGATCAAGGGCAAACACAACAAGGGGATTGGACTTTGATCACATGATGAGGCGAGAGCACACAAGGGAGGTATGAGGATAGGCAAGAAACCCAAAAAAAACAAGATAGCATTTGATGTCCTCAATGCAAAGGAACTAATGCAGAAACTTTGAAGTGACAGAGACCAATAGGAGAAAGGGACTAGGAACTAGAGAAAAGGTTAGTTCAAGAAGAATTAACCTAGAAGGAACACACATGTACAGGAAAGCAATGTGAGTCAACTCCTTGTATAGCTACCCTTATCTCAACTAGCAAAAACCCTTGGTCCTTCCTATTAGTGCTTATACTCTCTCTTCAACAAAATTAGAGATAAGGGCAAAATAGTTTCTGCCTGGTAGCAAGGGACTGGGGGGGGGGAGAGGAAGGGGGTGGGAGAATGGGGAAGAAATGACCCAAACATTGTATGCACATATGAATAAAGAAAGGAAAACAGAATAAAACATAGAGAATGAAAAAAAATTATGACTGTGTTCCAGCTCCAATGAGTGAGGGAGATAGTTCAGGGGTGGAGAGCATGGGCTTTGGGATCCTGACTGTCCACAGTTTGCAGAGGCAAATTTCTTTAACTTCTGTTTCTGAAAAATGAGGATGCAATTATTTATTTCACAGGATTCTTTGTCAGTGAGCTGAGATAACAAATATAAGGCCCTTGATGCAAAGTCTATTAATTACCAAGGCTTGATAAAGAGCAATTAATACTCTCACCATTTAGTTGCACCTCACTGGATGAGTATTAGAATAAACTGGAAAGCTTTTGAGAGTAACCTAGCCTTTGGGTTCCAAGTTTATCTTCCTTTCTTAGATCACCTCCCATGTGAAATCCTAGAGCTGAAACAGCTCCCATGCGGTGTCTATGGGAGGCTGGCTTAACAGAGAACTCTTACCTGTCCTCAATAGATCACTCATAGTGGGCCTTCTGGCCTATCTTCATGGTGAATACCCCAAAGAATTTGAAAAGTGCTCACCTGAGTCTGATGTTGCTGCAGATGCAGCAAGGAGAGATAACACTGGGGTGGGTGGAATTGCAACACTGTCAACTGCAGCTGGCTTCTTCCTGGTCATCATGGTGGATGCTGAGCCCTCGCTCTTATTATGTGCTGTCGTCTGGTCCACTTTTAAGTGAGGACTTGGCATCCCTGAAAAACAGAAGCCCCAGAATCTGTAGTTCATTTATAGGAGCAGGTAGACAAAGAACATAAGACTTGAATATGATCTGAGGAAACAGTCAAGTGATTTGACCTCTTTCTGGTACAAAAGAATGAAATTTGAGAATATTATTAAAAAAAAAAGCCATGACTGGTTTTTGTGACTGAAATTAGGAGTGATGGATACAGGCCCCTTCTGAAGATAAACATGCCCATCTCCACAGAGCTTACAACAAGAAGGGGAATCCACGAGACTCCCACTCTAGAGATGCTTCACATGTCACTCAGCTGGAAAGACAAGATTACGTGAGAAGGGAAAGCTGGGAAACAAGTGCAGGCAGACTTGTGTGCTACTCATCCTAAGGTTGTGGAGAGTTCTATGGCTGCAGAGCTCAGTGTGGGAAGAGGTGAAGATGGCTTTGCAGTGCTATTCTAGAGTAGCAAGAGGTGACAGAAGGGCATCCTCTGCACTGAGAAGAGCACATGCAAAGTCATGGGTGGGGAAGGAGACTGATCCAGATAGGCAATCACCCTAAGTTCTGATCAAAGGAACAAATGGATAAAGAAAATGTTGTATAGTTATACACAATGGAATATTATTCATCCATCAAGAATAATGAAAGTAGCAAAATGGATGGAAATGAAGGACATTATGTTAAGGGAAGTAAGCCAGACCAAGAAAGACAAGTGCCATGTGTTCTCTCTCATATGTGGAAGTTTAGAAAAAATGCTGACCTGAATGTAAAACAGTGATTACGAGAGTCTGAGAAGGGGCAGGTGAGGGTAAATAAAGGGGGTTAGATTTGAACAGTGCCTGCTGTATGCATGCATTGAAATATCACACTGGGCCCCATTAAAATGAATAATTAATACATGTTAATAATAACAATAATGTGATAAAAAGACAGCCCACTGGCAACAGGAAATGTATTGTGGAGACTGGTGTGCAATAACAGTCTAATAAGGCTAAGGAAGAGCTTATTTGGGGGTCTTTGAGTGTCTGTTCCTAACAAGTACCATAAGTCATGTCATTAGGATGCTGAAAAGTCTGGTGAGCTATTCTGGGACCTGTTTCCTTAGGTTAAATCTAGGCTCAGTCACTTTCCAGCTGTGAGATCAAGAGCTGTGTGTTACTTAACCTCTCAGGCTTTAAGCTTATTCTTTCTAAATTTTAAGTTATTAAAATACATTTTCTTAACTTTGAAATGGGATAGGGTGGGATATTGTGAGCATCCAACATGTCAATTAATATGAAGTGCTTACAAAAATGTTTAGCACATGGTCCATGCATGTAAGTGTCTGCTATTTTATTATTATTATTATTCACTGCTTCCTCACAACCAATTGTAGCCAGTAAGCAAAGGTTCTTTTTCTTGACATGACAAAGAGTTTGGGGGCACATTCTATACCCCCAGCTACACAAAACTTGTAAGAGTAGAGCATGATCCATGTCCAATGGCCATTTTTCAGTTCCTTCATCTGTAGGTCACATGCCACTGACAACAGCAGCAACAATTTGGGCTTTATCACAGTACTTCTTAATATTTTTTCTTTTCATCTCAAACAATTTGAGTAATGCAGTCCCTTCTCAGAGCACCATTATCTTGCCACCACAGTGTGATCAACTTCACTTGGGCCTTGTGACAACCCTGTGAAGCATGCAATGTGGATGTTACTATTTTCACAATTTTACAGAAGAGGAAAACACATTTATGACAGCTTAATCTGAATAAACTCATACTGGCAGCCAGATGTTACACCCAGGATCATCTTGATCCACCTGGCCGTCCTGTAACACACCCCCACAGCAGGTCAATGAATGTTTCGTGTGAAGGACACAAAGGTTCAACTATCATATGTGGAAAATACACTTGTAATCACCTAAGGAGAAAGTCATGCTGACATTTTTCTTTACCTTCTACTACCTTCCTCTTACTCTCCATCCTGGTCTCTGAACTTCCTGTTTGATATATCATGAATACCATTTATGCTGTTTTAGAATTCATGTTTCATAGCATTTTGAAGGGAGAGATAAATAAATATAAATTCTATCATAGAAAGATTGCAAAGCATAGCCATTAAGATACACAAACCAATGTTAGTAAATTCTGTTAGTAAAATATGTATGGTGTATTCATGATAGGCTATGTACAACTTTCGTTTTCCATTGAGAAAATAAAGAACCCTCCCTGTATGTTCTGGAACTCTAAGCTGTCAGAGTTCTACTGCACAAGTGCTCCTTTGGAATGACTCACTGGTAAATCTTCTTTGTACCTGTGGGCACAGGTTAGGCAGCTACTTCTTGGTTTAAATTATGATATGCTTGGGGAATGAAGGCAATAAACAGGGTTAGTAGAAGAATATTTAACCCTCATTTGGGAACACACTGATTTCTAGTCATTTTAGTTGTACCCATTTTCGGCAAATGATCACAATCTAAATTAGTCTCAGTCCGCATCATCACATTAAAGTTGATGTCATCACACCTCTGTTGGGCATACTTTGCTGCTCAAGTGTTTATGTTACTGAATATGTTAAATGTATTAAAATGGCACTTAGAGCACACTGTCATCAAGATCGTCACTATTTAGCTTTTTCAAAAAACCTATGACAATTTAGGATTTTTTAGATGCTAGAACTGAAGAAAAAGGAAAACAAAAGAAAACCAAAACCAAAACAGCCCTTCCTTTTCTTCTGTGATTTGTGGATTTTGAAAAGAAAATGGAAAGAATCCAGAAATAATATATATGGACAAAAATATTAGATAAACTTAAAACAAAGAGTAATCTAAGAGCAAAGAAAGACTGATATAATCTGAGAGCAGAGGTCTGGAGAGTGACTACTCCTTAGGAGAGGGCATTGGCCGGTAGCTTTTGTAAGACTTTGTTTCCCTTCATCCCAGGTGGCAGCGGGTAGCTCCATGGTATGTGAGGTCAAAGTAGAGGGACATTTGGAGAGTCCCAGCAGGAGTGTGGCTTCTCCCTCTTTTCAGAGAAGGGGGATTTCTGAGGCAGGAAGTTAATCATTAAAAAAAAAAAAAATCCAGGTAGTCACATATATAATGGATCATGGAGATGTGTCATCTTGGCTTATACTGGGACACTGTAAAAGGCAAGAGAACTTGGATCTGGAAAGAGATAATTGTTTAAATTCAGAAAGCAAACTGTATGGAGAACACTCTTGGTAGATGAGCTCCAAGTATTCCTATTCCCCAACATTTTGCACTGAGGTTTAGATGTTTGGAGACCAGTGTGTTTTTAAAGGAGGAAATAACAATGGTAATGACTTTGTGGAGCCAACATCTGTTCATAATTAAAACACAGAGCCAAGTGGAAATAAAAAAGTTAAATCAATATGAAAATATACTGCTATAACGTGGTGACCTCTATTGATAAATTTTTTTTTAAAGTCTTTGAAACAGTGCTGCAGCCTATCAAGGGACAGTCAGTCATTTTTAAAGGTAATTTCTCATACTCCACTTATCCCCTCAAACCTCTACCTGCACACCATGTTTGCATTAGGGACTTGATTTATGGATTCCTAGTCCTGCAATGCAGAAGCTGGCTTCCTGTTGCCTTGGTTACTTGGAGCTCAGTTCAAGGTTAAACTACTCCCAAATCAAAATCAGTGGCAGGCACTGCATCTAGTGGCCAGGTTATTGAATGCCCCAGGATGTGAAAAGGTCAGAGACCAAAGCACTGTTTACTGCCTTAAGGTGAGTCAATAGTTTCAATATTTTGATTCTGTTTCTTCCGAAGTAGTACTTGCTGTTCAATTACCTCTTCCCCAGGTTGCTCAAGGTCACAAGGGTCGTGGTAGAAAAGCAGGGTCTATGGTGGCTTACTTTCCCAGGATCCTGTTAATAAGCTTTGTGACCTTGGATAATAAAAAACAGTCCCCCTCCTTAAGTAATTTGTATGTTGCTCTAAAGTTTATAAAACTAGTTATCTACTTTACCTCATTTCTTTATAGGAGAAAAACAAATAAACATCCCTTGTAGGTTGGGTACTGTTTCTCCCATGTTCTAGATGAGAAAATGGATATTCAGAAAGGTCATATGATTTATTTAAAGTCACACAGCAGATAAGAGGCAAAATACTCAATATCCTCAGAGTGTCTGTTGGGTCCATACAGCTTCCTTCAATAAAAGAGCTGATGGAATCATCACTGAGAGATCACAGGGAATTCATTTTGCAAGATCCACTGCAGAGAGCAGTGTACTGGCAGATGGTATAGGCTTGTTCAATAGCTTAGCTAACTTTCTAATTCTAAAGTTTGCAAATGCAGGTGTTTCCCAGTGACAAAGCCTAGGCTGCATGGTAGGAAAGGCTGAAGCCACTGGAATGGTTTGTTCCTAATCACCTCTATGCTGCAGAATGAAGGGTTTGGCATGGATGGGCAGTTGAGATATATTTACCAGTTTAGTAGTTTTTAATATCACAAAGAGCCTTGACATGCATTATTCTATTTTCCTCCTATAGCCTCCCTGCGGATGACAAGAGGTATATGGTGAGACCCCCAATCTATAAATGAGGAAACCAGACACAGACAACCAGGTGATTTTTCCCAAGCACACAGACCATATGATGAATGAAGCAAGGTGAAATCCACATCTCTTGACTCCTTTTAATGTCCTTTTCCTTCTACATAATACTTCAACTTTTGGGTAAACCAGTGAGTTACACATTTACCACAAGAGAAACTGGTCCTGAAAACTTCGTGATCATTCTCATACGGTTGTCCATTTTTTTCTCGGTGGGACTAAGGTTTGAACTCAGGGCTTTGTGCTTCATTCTAATATACCAGTTGTCTATTCAGATTCTGCCATGGCTTACTTTTCTCTTGTGCAAATGAACTTTTCTCATGGCCACAAAGGGGACTCTATGTTGCAGAGAAAAGCAAATCTAGTAATAGAAAACCTTAAGATGTAAGAAATATATTCTTCTGTGTCCAGGCCAAAAAATTATTTTTGCATCATCTTATTTATTAAT